AATCAGGGACACGGGTACAAGTTGTCCTTGAATTCTCCAGCTGTTGGAGGGGGCACCTGGAATCTTCAGCCCCTCTTGGTCTGTGCCACCTAAGGACAGAGAACTTCTCACTGACCATTATAAACAATGCGGAGTCTTTAGATAAACAGGGGTAAGGGGAAACGGAGGAGAATTGGTTCTTTTGTTGGTTTCCAGGGAAAACGATGTTAAAAAGTGACTGATTTTGTAGGTGGACCTTGGAGATGTACACTGGGAGATGCCCTCAAGTCACAGTTATTGTTCAGAGACAGGAGACCCCCCCCACTTCAGCCCACCTCTCCCCAGCTGTGTGTTCCCACACTCCAACCCCAGCTCCTGTTGCACCCTAAAAGGTCTCTCCCTGCTTCCATGTCAGCAGGAATAACCCAGGGGGAATAACCACAAGGCAAACTTTCCTTGTGACGGTTTTTAGAAAGTTGCATGCTGCTTCCTTGGCATGATTCTGTCACACACGCCAGATCTTCCAGGCGTGACTGTCTCCCAGTGACTCCTCCCAAAGGTGCCTCTGCAGGCCTGTACAGTCATGTACAGTGTCCACAGTCTGTGCATTACCACGTGGACAGTCTGCAGGAAGCTCCATGGAAGCTCTATGGAAGCGTCACAGAAATGCGAGCTGTCAGGCTCCGCCTTGACTTGGCCTACATGTTCCCTTTTGCTGAACTGAAAGTTAAACAAAAATGAATCCAGAAAGAAGGGTTTGGCTTAGATGTTCTTCCTTTTGTCATATCTTCTCCGCTCAAGAAAATTAAAAAGCAAAGGAAAGAAGGGGCCGAGCAATAGTACAGTGGGAAGGGCTCCTGCCTGGCATGCAGTCAACTCAGCTCGATCTCCAGGTCCTCATATGGTATCCCAAGGCCATAAGGAGTGATCCTGAGGGTAGAGCCAGGAGTAAGCCCTGAGCATCACAGGTGTGGACCAAAGCATAAATGAAACAAACACAAAAGAAAGATGAAAGAAAGAAAGAAAGAAAGAAAGAAAGAAAGAAAGAAAGAAAGAAAGAAAGAGAAAGAGAAAAGAAAGAGAAAGGAAGGAAGGAAGGAAGGAAGGAAGGAAGGAAGGAAGGAAGGAAGAAAGGAAGGAAGGGAGGGAGGGAGGGAGGGAGGGAAAGAAATAACAAAAGAAAGAGAGAAAAGAAAGAGGAAGAACAAAAGAAAGAGAGAAAGATAGAGAGAAAGAAAGAAAGAAAGAAGAGAGAGAGAGAGAGAGAGAAAATGTCCCTAAGAGACACACAGAAGTTGTGCTGGAAACGGCTCGGTCAATGGCACTGACTGACCCTGGCAGATGAAGCCACCCTCTGGCTCCAGGAATCCCTCATGCAACATTAACCAGTGGAGCAGGTTCTCTCTCTCGTTCCAGGAACCCACATTCTCAGCCCCCCTGTGGGGTCGAACGCTCAAGGAAAGGGTCCATATTTCCCGTCTGCACCAGCAGCCACCACATCCTAGTTGACCCTGAATGCAGAGTAGAGGCTCCAGAGACAGAGCACAAGGGCTAAGGTGTTTGCCTTCAGTGGGGGCACCCCATTTCAGCTCTCATCATTGCATATCCCCTCAAGGTACCACCAAGAGCTGCCCTGGACAGAGAGGCAGGAGTAGCCCCTGCAAACCACAAGATGTGACCCCTCCCAAAAAAGATTATTTCAAATTGGGAGTAAAATGAGATAAGAAGTGGCAGAGAAAGAGGAGAGATAAGCTCGGCACTCACTTCTCGGGCTGTGATCTTCTGGGTCATGCAGTTGGGCGTCTTGCACCCCCAAGCCTCATCATAGCAATTGCTCAATAAATATTCACTTGAGGGCACCAGGTTCTACTCCTTGATTCTGACCCTGGTCTGTCAAGAGTTGCATGAGGAGGTGGTTCCTGTGGCAGAGCAGAGCCAGTGAACACCTGTCAGCGCAGAGAGGAGGATTCAAGTGTCTTCAAGGTTGGGATGGGAGTGACATGGCTGAGGACAGGGCTGTGCCCACCCCAGGAAACAGCTTCACAGAGGAACAGGGGCATCTGCAACCCTCCCCCCCCACACACACACACGACGGTTACTGAGAAAGAAGACGTCTGTTAGGGGAGCAGAAAACTGGGAGGAGGTCAAGATCAGAGAGGTAGCAGGAGGCCGAGAGGGAGGAGACGAGATGCAGGAGATGTAATAGGAGGGGGAAAAAAGCCAAGTGTTGAATTTGAAGACGCCAGGATGGCAGCGGGCCCCAGGCCTGCTGGGACCATGCCAACAAACCGAGGAAACAGAATCAAAAATCAGAGAAGAATTGGTCAACCGTAAAACAGGGAAATATGCTCAGGGATTTAAAAGAAAAGGTCCCAGAGACTAAGAGAAAAGAAAGGGTGCAGGACGTGGAAGAGAGAAGGAATTCTCGTGAACACCCGGTTCAAGTGAGTGACGACGCCTGCAGCGGAGAAGGCGTGGTGGCAGGCCAGGCCTGAGCTGATGCTGAGAATTGTGTCTGGATGCCGGACTCCAGGGGACCCTGAAGCGTCTGTGCCATCCTCCTTCCACGGGTTCCAAGGCCCAGGGTGCTGTTCCTCAAGGGAGTTGAGGGAAGGAGTGAGAGGCAGTTCCTACAGAGGTCCTCCTCCCTCCTGCATCTAGTGATTGCAGGAAGCAGCCAGCCATGGCCTGGACTTGCAGTCTGGACTGAGACTGTTTCTCTGTGGGGTTTGAGCAGAAAGACTGGCTTGAGCGAAGGGATGAGAGCGGGGAGTGCCGTGGCCTGCTCTGCCCTGCTGGAGGCCATGGAAGGGGCTGGGCAGGCAAGCGGAAGGGAAGCCCAGAGTCAGAGCCCGGGAGACTGAGGGTAAGGTGCAGGAAGTGCTGGGAGAGACAAGGGCCTAGCATAGCTTCAGAGACTGCCTGTGGGAAACACTGGACAACTGAGTGCAGCTGGTGCTGTGTGCGGAGCTGGCCAAGTGTCCGTGGAATGACGAGCCAGCAGCCAGGCCCTGGGAGAAAGGGCGAGGAGAGCGATGCAACGGGCAGCTTCACTTACTCCCGGCAAAGGAGCGTCAGGAGCAGGGCGAGGGCAGGAAAACAGTGAGGGACTGACGCCAGAGGATCCTGCACACAGACCCCTTGGAGGCCTTGAGCACTGCACAGAGACCCCTGAGCACTGCACACAGACAGCCGTGAGCACTGCACACAGACCCCTGAGCGCTGTACATAGAGGCCCCTGAGCACTGCACAAGAGACCCCTGAGCACCGCACAGAGACCCCTGAGCACTGCACAGAGACCCCTGAGCACTGCACACAGACCCCTGAGCACAGCACACAGACAGCCGTGAGCACTGCACACAGACCCCTGAGCACTGTACATAGAGGCCCCTGAGCACTGCACAAGAGACCCCTGAGCACCGCACAGAGACCCCTGAGCACTGCACAGAGATCCCTGAGCACTGCAGAGCAGTGTCCATGCTGCGCGTGGCTTCTGAGAGCTGAGGAGACCCAGGAGCAGCCCTGTGGATGGGAAACCTGGTGCTGTAAGACTCTCGAGGTGGGGGTGAGGCAGGGAAGGAAGGAAGTGCTGGAGCCAAGCCCTCCCAGGTGACAGGCCTATGGGCGGGAGCAGGAACCACGAGAAAGGCCCCAAGAAGGTGGATGTTCCCGTCAGGGACTTAGAAGCCAGCATGGAACTCTTGACTTTGGACAAAGAAGCGCTGAGAGTAAGTGAGATGATAGTGAAATGACCTCAAAGGCAAACTCCGCCGTGCACTCACGCCACCATCTTTTCAGATGGCCAATGTGCACCATGAGAAAAACCTAGTGCAGCATGCTAGCCATCCCAGTGACATCTGTCTGAGGCATCACTGGGCACTTTCTGGGTCCTTTTAAAAAAAATTGCAGTTTATTTATTTAGCTTTTTTTTTTTTAGGTCACACCTGGTGATACACAGGGGTAACTCCTGGCTCTGCACTCAGGAGTTACTCCTGGCGGTGCTCAGGGGATCATATGGGATGCTGGGAATCGAACCCGGGTTGGCCGGGTGCAAGGCAAACACCCTACCCGCTGTGCTATCGCTCCAGCCCCTTTCTGGGTCCCTAGTGCAGGGACATGAACTCACCCCAGCGGTCCAAGGCAGGACCACAGAGGGGGCGTCCCTCAAGCCAGGTGGGTGCAAAGCCAGGACAGGAAATGAAATAGGACAGCAGAAGGATACTGAGAAAACAGGCCTCCATGCAGAACTCACGTACTTTTGAGAGAGAAGAACCAGTCCTGAGGGTAGGCGGAAGAGCAAGTCTAAAGCCCAATGGCCCAGTGAGAAACGCTGAGGACACTGAGGTGGGAGAACCCGGGAGCCACTGCAGCCCCCGGAGCTCACATGGGGGCATTGGCAGAGGACAGAAAGGCCACCTAATTCCTGCATCCTAAAAGAATTATTTGCTCCCCAAGACTTGTAAATGAGTAAGAGACATGGTTCCCCATTTAAATGGAGTCTCCATTTAAATCACTCTTCCTAGAAACACTAGATCGCTCCCTAAATCTTGAGCTCCAATTGTGAGACCCTCTCGTCTCCTAGGCTGGGTAATGTTGGTTCCTTGGAGATCCAGTTCAGTGTCCCTAGGAAGCATCTGGAACGTTCCCTAGCTCACAGTCACTCTCCTGCATGTGGTGGAAGGATGAAGTCAAGGGAAATAGAGGTCAAAGCATGCACGTGCTGGGGTAATCCTGCCGGTAGGGGAGAATAGCCTGAGCCTCACCCGAGCCTGACTCTCCCTACCATCCCCATATACCCGTCCCTGTGAAATAAAGCTGACATTTTAAAAAATGAATTGAGTTACTCTAAAAAGATTTTTTTAACCCCAATGGAAATGCAAAGAGAGATTTAGAATTATGTGTGAGACATTAATTACTTAAATCTGACTGAGCGGTTGTTTCTATGAATGAATGCACTTAATTAATTTTTCCCCTAGCTTCTTGCTATTTCCTGACTATAATCTATTTTCTTTTATCCCCAGGGGCAATAGAAGGACAACAAAAGAAGGATCCAGTGATTTGAAATTCCAGAACTTCAGTCTGCCAAAAAATAGGTCAGAATATTTGCTTGTTTATTCGGAGAGGAGCAAAATGTTTCCTCCTATGGCACATCAGCTCTCTCTCTCTCTCTCTCTCACACACACACACACACACACATACACAGACAAACACGCATCAATGAGAGCATGTATATGCACATACGCACATGTGCAGTGTTGAATCGCACTGCTGGGGGCTCTTTTAGCTGTCACACAGAGCCCCAAGTTCAGAAGGAAAAGAGATTGAGTGGATTGAACCCTCAGGTGTGTGTGATGAGGGGGCACTGGCAAAGCCCCGGGTGGCTACTGCCACCACCAGTTCTCTCAGTCATCGGGAAGGTAGTGCCCAAGGGACAAGTGTCTGCCAGTAGCTGGGCCTGGTGGCAGGCCCTGAGGATCAGGCCTGGGGGCACCAGGGTCTACCCAGCAAGGAGACTAGACAAAGACTTGAGCCCGGGTGGTGTTTTGCCTCCGAACCTCAACCCAGAAAAGCATCTCCCAAGCAATCCAACCTCTTGCACAGCCAAGGGAAAAGTTCAGAGTCGTGCCTCCAAGCCACTCTGGGATGCTCAAAGCAGAGCTATCTTGATTCTAAGAGGAATGAAAACCTGGTCCCGAAAGCAGTCCAGCTGGTTGTGGCCAAATCCCAGGCCCAGAGGGACTGAGTGGCCCCTGCATCCCACCAGAAGGCCCAACCCGGCAGCCTCAGCAGCCAGCAGACCTGTAGTCAAGTTTAACACAACTGGGCTTCCAAACGTTGGCACATACCCACTCAGCTGGCACTCGAGGCATTTCCAGACTCTGAAGATTTGTTCGAAGACATATTTTTCCTAAACAGAGTGAATGAATGCCTGTAAAGCAAAATACTTGAAATATTTTCAAGCCCACATGAAAGCAAAAGAAAATTTGTGTCTTTTCTCAGACCTCTTTAATGTTTACATTAAATACATCTGAATAATGCATTTTCAGGCCATTTTTCTTATTTCTTGACAATAGCAAGAGATCGGAGATGGAAGGGTTGTGGGATTTCCTTCCAGTGGAGATGGCTGAAGCAATTACATACATCAAAGTAATACTTACAGTTACATTTTGAAAAGAAGAGAGAGAACGTGCGTGATTTTTTTCCAAAGCAAATTACTTCGGGATGTGTCATAGCATGCTCAAGATAAATTAAAAAGAGCAACAGACGATATTTCTGCCACCTGTTTTGAACCATTTATAAATCCAAATTTTTTAATCCCATATACATACAAATCTCTATTACTGCATATTTTATAATGAAAGTAGTATGTGAATATGTTAATATTTGAAACATATAAATCAAATAAAAATGTCTGAAAACTGCATCTCTGGGCCTACTATCTTCCCTTAGTAACTATTGAATGGATTATTCATTTTCCACACAAATCAGTGATCTGCCTGTGTGTGATCAGGGGGAATGTCAGGAAGGTGCCGCCAACAGACAGGGTTAGAGGACACAGGGCTTAGGACCGCGCTCCGTGTGAGAGAGAAGGATTTGGGATGAATGAAGAGGTTAAACAGCCTCCGGCCTGCAGAGCTTCCCAGGCTGAGGCAATAGCAGCAGACATAGCTATAAAGAGCAACACCAAGGGGCTACCTCACCATCACCATCCCCCCGGAGACAAAGCCACTGATTCTCCCACCAAGAACTGTCTGCTTTCAACCACCACCAAACTTGGGCATGACCAGACCTCAGGAAGCGTGAGAGAAATAAGAAGCCGAATGCTGGGGCCCCACCCAAATCAAATCCCTCGAGACCGTCCAAGAAACATCAGGCTCCTGGCCCAGAGATGGTCCAGCGTGGAGCAGCTAGCCACTTTGCAGACATGGGGCCCCAAGCTTGGCCCTGCGCATCAAGTGTAAGCCTGGTGACCATTTGGCAGTGTCCACAGGACCAAATGATGGTGTGACGTCCCCCACACATTACAGCAAGTGCTTGTGAAGGAATTACTGAGGAAAGAGAGAGATGGGGGAGAGACAGGAAGAACCACAGCGTTCCCTTGGTGCCCTTGCCTTTCTGCCTGAGAGCAGTGTGTGGGCTTCCTGGGCTGATTCGGTCTCCAGGGCCCATTTCTCTTCTCCCTTGTGTGCACAGATGCAGAAACATACTGATTAGTATTGTCCTGCCAAGCTCAGACACCTGCCATGCACCAGACACTTCGAGGAGCCTTGGCACTGAAGGGCTCAGTGATGCTATAGGGATGCCTGAGAGAGACGGGGTGTTTATACCCCAGCTAGAGTGGTGCTCAGGGCCCCAGCTACATTTGCATTCTGAATCGAGCTTCCAGTCCAGGACTCACGGGGTTCTGCAGGGCGCCAACACACTCCTCTTCCAGACGGACTTGGGACATGTATATCTTACTCTTGAGTCTCTGGGAGGATGAAGGCAAGACTGTCCACCATGCAGAAGGGCCGTGTGCATGACTGTCCAGGGAAGGACATCTTCATTCCTAATAACCAAGCCGTGGAGCAGGGTGCTTTGAATGGGGCCCTGAGCTCGCAACACCAGGTGGAAGCATCCCAGAAATACAGATTCTCAGGCCTCTCCCTCTGGAGTCTGAAACCCGAATGCTGAGCCTGGGGGTTGGCGCGTCCCTGAGGAACTCTGTGGCTTATTCAAGTTTGGGAACCTTGACTTCAAGCCCTAATTGGAGAGCGAGCTTTCAGCACTTACTCAGCGCCTCCTAATAAGTCCCAGCGAGTGGAGTGGGTGGCGAGGGAAACTGGAGAAGGTCATAGAAGAGGACAGAAGGCACGGCGGATGGTGCCCTTCTCACCTTAGAAGTGAGAAATCAAGGAGGAGAGGGGCGGACACAGCCTTGCCCACTAGGCACTTGGTCTCAGGGGAAGGAGAAACAGCAAAACATGGGACAGATCTGAGGACACAAGGCCAGGCGGGAGTGAGCAGCGGATCCTGGGACACTCAGGAAGCAAGGTGGAGGCTCAGGCCATCTCCACTCTCCGGAGGTCAGAGGGTACAGAGTCCAGGCATGCCCAGACACTCCTGGGAACTTGCCATTCCCCTCCTTGGTGGCGCTGTCATGAGCTGACTTGCACCTTCCCATTCAAACCAGTGTTGAGTTGGGAAAACAAGAAAGAGGTCCCCCCACCCACAGCCCCTCACACCAAATTTCTAAACCCTGGTATTACCCGGGCAGCAGAATAGCTGGAATTTCGCTTGTTCCGCTGAGGTCCCAAGAGGGTTCCTGCCTGGGGTCTGGCCCCATGGGACAGGCCACACCAGATGAGACACTGGGAAACCTTGGCCGTATGCCCTGCTGCAGAGAGGGAAGGGGCAGTAGAGCAGTGCATCTGGGTCAGGGCCACATGGAAGTGTTCACAAAAGGAGACCATAGGGGTCGGGGCAGTGGGCAAAGGGAGGCAACTGGGCACCAGGCACAGGGCTCCCCAGCTGTCAGGACAGAGGCTCCCGCTCACTGCCCCAGGCCTTCCATCTGAAGCAGGTGACACAGGAAGGGGAAAGGGCCGGTCTTGTAAACCTGGGCCTGTGAAAGGGGCTTAGACTCTCTCCCAGGAGACAGACTCAAAACCGAGTCCAATGGCCAGCGCAGAGAGTTGCTCATTGTGGGAAAAGCACCCTTACCCACACACACACACACACACACACACACACACACACACAGAGAGAGAGAGACACAGATACACACACACACATTATTTGGAGGTTTGCTTGTTTGTTTTTTATTTTTATTGAGTCACCATTAGATGCAGTTACAAAGCTGATTGTGGTCAGGTTTCAGTACACAGTGTTCCAACACCCATCTTTGCACCAGTGTACATTTCCCACCACCAATGACCCCAGTTTCCCTCCAGGCACACCCTCCCCTCAGCCAATGTCTATGGCAGACTCTCTCTCTGTCTCTCTGTTTCTGTGTGTGTCTCTCTCCCTCCCTCTCTCCCTCCTTCCGTCCCTCTCTCTCACTGTCTCTCTCTGTCTCTGTCTCTCCCCTCTTCCCCCTTTGGGTCATTATGTTTGCAATACAGGTACTGAGAGGTTATCCTGTTTGTTCCTTTACCTGTTCTCAGCACGCAGTTCTGATCCAGAGTGATCATTCCCAACTATCTTTGTCATGGTGGTCCCTTCTCTGTCCCCACTGCCTTCTCCCATAGCATTTGAGGCCTGTTTCCAACCAACACTCACGTTTAACGATCAGAAATTGTCCAGCGTGGGAGGAAAAGGAGAGCCCAGGGAGGAGGTGTGGAAGAAGGGGGCTTCCCTGCCCGGAAAGGAAAGGCAGTAAGCTTCCGCTCTGAAAGCCCTGCCCAGTCCACAGCCTCGTTGGCACTCACCTTCCCCACTGACACCTGCAGTGATGCTCAGGTGGGGAGCAGAGGATGGGGGTTTCCTCAGGGCCCCTTCCCCCAGTTCCTGTCCTTTGGGCACCAGCGACTCTTCCCAGCACCAGTAGACCCCCTGCCAGACCAGCATCTGGCCCCCAGACACCACCCAGGGTCATGCCACATGTCTGCTTTCGCTGCTATGCACCTGTGCACCCCCGCCGCCCCCATCCCTCTCTTCAGCTTCTGGGGAGCCCAGTGTACACAGGCACCCATTGGGTGTCAGACGCTGTTGAGAGCTAAAGGGCTGCAAGGGCTTCAGAAGCAGACCCCCCCCCCCAACTTCCTGAATGAGCCCTGAGCTCCCACCCAAAGACACTCAGTTGGCCCTGCCAAGGCACAAGGAGATATGCAACAAAAGAAGAAAGTCGGGGTCCATGAGAAGACTCTGCCAGTCTGGATGCGTGGGAAGATGAGGGAAGAAGTGCTAGCCATGCTCAGTGAGAGGGCAGAGGGACAAGGAGAAGATGGGACAAGCAGGGGAGGGTCCAAGAGAGGGGAGAGGCTGAGGGTTCTGGTGTGATCTGCCCCCTGGAGCACCAGTTCAGCCCGGCTGGTAGCAGAGCAACCTGCCCATCCTTGTGTCCACCCTAGGGCCCACCAAGATGCCAAATGACCCCATCTCTGTTGTTCAA